TGCCAATTTCCCCCCTCCCCCCAAAAGTCTGAGTCTCCATCATGACCATCCCCCAGATGGTGCACATCTCACTCATTATGTATGTATATACCCGCCCCCCTCCCCCCTCCCACCTGCCCAATACCCTATTACTGTAGTACCTATGTGTCCACTTAGGTGCTACTCAGTTAATACCAGTTTGCTGGAGAATATATCTGGTGCTTGTTTTTCCATTCTTGGGATACTTCACTTAGTAGTATGGGTTCCAGCTGTTCTCCTTCTGTTTTATGTTTTTTTCTTAATTTTAAAAGTAGTACATATGAATAATAAAAAATAAAAACACATAAACATGCAAATCAGGAAATAAAATTATAGATAACATGTCATAAATAATATTTTTAGGATATTTACATATATCATATATGATAAATATTTTATACATACATATACATATATGCACATATATGTGTGTATATATATTTACATATCTGAAAGAGAGCGAGAACATGTGCAAACAAAAACACCAGACTACTACCTGTGAGTTTGTAACATGTCAGATATTTCAAACCACAGAAAGGTACAAAGTCTTTTCAAGTCTTTCTTTTCTCCAAATGTAATTTCTGTAAACACTTTCTTACAGAGGGAAAAGGTTTATTCACACTTGTCCTTTTAAAAAGTGGTGCCCACCTGGACATTTCTCCATCCCTGTGCTCCTCTCCCTCTCACTGACCTCCAGTTCTGGCTCTGTTTTTCTTTCGATTTTCATTTCTATCCTTATTGTTCTTTTTATTTCTATTTTTTTAACACAAAATATAATATATAATATTTAATGCTATAACACTGTTCTGTGCTTTTCTCTTTAAGAAAACTTATTTATATATTTTGTAGATCTTTCCATATTGCCTACACAGATCTGACTCATTCTGTTTAAGGAGTGGGCAGTATTCCACTTATGAATATAGCTATTCTTTCCTTCTTGATGGGGAAAACAACTTTGGTTGATTTCAGGTCCTCTCCTGTCCTATTACAAAAAGACTATAGTGAGCAATGGACACTGATTGTACATATATGTTGGCAAACTTTTGCAAAATATATGTAAGTGATAAAAATTGCTAGTCATGGAATTTCTGGGCAAAAAAAATTTATGAGCATTTAAAAATGTTAATAGATATTTTTAAATTGTATTCTATTTATAAAAATTTGTATTCCTAGAAATAGATATGACACTGTTTATATTTTCCATTTGCCAGAAATGATTTTGTGCATTGGGATGAGGATTCGGTTTAATTTTTTCCGGTCACTACTTAACTGATTAACTCTTCTTTTTTCTGCTGGTCTGAAATGTTACTTTTATTGTAAAATATATTATCTGTATTTGGTCCTATTTGTGGGCTCCTTCCACAGCCCTGATCTACTTATTTTCTAGTACCAAACTACTTTTTTATTTGAAAAAGTTAAGGGAGTACAAATGTTTTTGTTACGTACATACCTTGTATAATGGTTAAGTCAGGGCTTTTGGTGTGTCTGTCACCAGAATAGTGTTCATTGTACCCAACAGGTAAATTTTTATCTGACACCTTCCTTCCCACCCTCTCTCTTTCTTGGTTTCCAATGTCCTTTATGTCACTTTGTGTCAATGTGTATCCATTGCTTAGCTCTCACTTATTAGTGAGAACATGGGGTGTGTGGTTTTCCATTCCTAAGATACCTCACTTAAGATAATAGTCTCCAGTTTCATCCAAGTTGCTGCAAATGACATTATTCCATTCTTTTTTATGGCTGAATAGCACTCCGTTGTGTGTGTGAGAGAGAGAGTGAGAGAGAGAGAGAGAGAGAGAGAGAGAGAGAGAGAGAGATGAAAGTTGTCTGGAAAAGTATCCAATTGTTGTTAATGTAACAAGAACATTTTAAATGGCTGGATACTTTCTGGACAGACATTGTATAAAACATTGTCTTTATCTACTCATGAATTGATGGACACTTAGATTGGTTCCATATCTTTGTAATTGTTAATTATGCTGTGATAAACATTTGGGTGAAGGTGTCTGTTTGAAAAAAATGACTTCTTTTCCTTTGGGTAGGTACCCAGCAGTGGGATTGCTGGATCAAATGGTAGGCCTACATTTATTTCTTTGAGGAATCTCCCTACTGTTTTCCATAGATGTTATACTAACAGTCCCATCAACAGTGTATAAGCATTCCTATCTCTCTGCATCCATATCAGCATCTATTGCTTTTTGATTTTTTAATAATGGTCATTCTGATAGGAGTAAGGTGGTATCTCATTGTAGTTTTAATTCACATTTCCCTGATGATCAGTGATGTTGAGCACATTTTCATAAATTTGTAGGACATTTCTTTATATTCTTTTGAAAAACTTCTGTTCATGTCTTTTGACTGCTTTTTGATGGGGTTGTTTGTTTTTTTCTTGCTGATATTTGAGTTCTTTGTAGATTCTAGATGTTAGTCCTTTGTCAGATGTATAGTTTGTGAATATTTTTGCCTATTCTGTAGGTTGGCTATTTGCTCTGCTGATTATTTCCTTTGCTGTGCAGAAGATTTTTAATTTAATTAAGTCTCATTTATTTATTTTTGTTGTTGCTGTATTTGCCTTTAGAGTCTTAGTCATAAATTCTTTGCCTAGGCCAAAGTCTAAAAGAGCTTTTCCTATGTTTTCATCTAGAATTTTTATTCTTTCATGCCTTACATTTAAGTCTTTTATTCATCTTGAATTAAATTTCTGTTTCTGGTGATAGATAGGGGTCCTATTTCATTCTTCTGCATGTGACTGTCCAATTTTCCCAGTGCCATTTATTGAATACAGCTTCCTTTCCCCAGTGTATGTTGTTGTCTGTTTTGTCAAAGATCAGTTGGTCATAACTATATGGTTTTATTTCTGGCTTCTATATTCTGTTCCATTGGTCTATGTCACACTCTTATACCAATACCATGGTGTTTTGGTTACTGTAGCCTTGGAGTATAATTTGAAGTCAGGTAATATGATGGGTCCAGATTTGTTCCTTTTGCTTAGGATTCTTTTGGCTATTCAGGTCTTTTTTTGGTTCCAAATGAAGTTTAGGATTATTTTTTCCAGTTTTGCAAAATTAGACTTTGCTATTTTGATAGAAATTGCATTGAATCTGTACATCACTTTAGGCAGTATGGACATTTTAACTATGTTGATTCTGCCAATCCATGAACAAGGGATGTTTTCCCTTTTATTTATGTCACCTGTAAATTCTTTCATCAATGCTTTATATTTCTCCTTGTGGAGATCTTTCACCTCTTTCATTAAGTATATTCTTAGGTATTTTATTTTCTTCGTAGCTATTGTGAATAGTATTGTGTCCTTGATTTGACTCTCAGCTTGACTGTTATTAGTATCTATAAATGCTACTGATATGTGTGCATTGATTTAGTTTCCTGAGAGTTTGCTGAATTTATTTATCAATTCTAGGAGTCTTTCAGTGGAGTCTTTATGATTTTCTGGATGCAAGATCATATCATTAGCAGAAAAGAATAATTTGACTTCCTCTTTCCTAATTTAGATATCCTTCATTTCTTTCTCTTGCCTGATTGCTCTGCCTAAGACTTACAATACTATGTCGAATGGAGGTGGTGACAGTGGGTACCCTTGTCTTGTTCCAGTTTTTAGGGGGAATGCTTTCGACTTTTCTCCATTCAGTATGATGTTGGCTGTGGGTTTGTCATATATAGCTTTTAAAATTTTGAGGTATATTCTTTATATGCCTAGTTTGTTGAGGGTTTTATCATGAAACAGTGCTGGATTTTATCAAATGCTTTTCCTGCATCTACTGAGATGATTATATGGTCTTTGTTTTTGCTTCTGTTTATGTGATAAATCACATTTATTGATTTGCATGTGTTGAACCATCCTTGCATAACTGGGGTGAAGCCCCCTCCCAAACTACTTTACTTATTTAACTTCAGAATATACTTTGCTATCTAGTCTCCACCAAATTACTTTTCCTTTTCAGTGGCTTTCTATTCTTATATATTTATTTCTAAATAAACTTTTAATATCATTTGAATTTCAAGAACTCTAGATTTTTTTGTTGTGATTGCACTGAATCTTTAGGTTTATTTAGGAGGAATCAATGTTTTTATAATATTGATATTTTTACCTTTAAGATGGTATATATTTACATTTAATTAGATCTTTTGAATTTTTGTAGAGTTTTAATATATTCTTCATTTCCTACAGAAATATTATAAATTTATACCTAGATATTTTTCTGTTTTAGATAAGACAGTGAGCAGAACTTCCATTTAATTTTAGAACCTATATTTCTTATATATTATAAATTTGTAGAATTTTCATCTTACCGAATTCTTTTGTTTTCAAAATTTTAGTTGATTCTTGAGATTTCTAAAAATACAATTATATCATATAAAAATAATGATAGAGGATTTATTTTTGACAAACTAAGATTGTAGAGTTTGTGTTTGTATAACACTAGCTGGGATTGTAAAAGTCTACTCTTTCAGTCATATATATGCAGTCTGTTCTTAGAACATTGAGGATCAATTTTCCTAACAGAGAGCTATGGATTTTTAAATAGAGAAGTGAGCTCTTGTTTATAAATGTATAGTTGTAAGTACTGTTCTCTGCTGGCTCCATTAAGATTGACAGGGGCACTAACCATCACAGATTTGTAGTAACAATTATAATTATAAATAATAATCAAACCAATAGCCAATATTTGTTCCTCTTTCTGTTATGTCTGACACCAAGTTAAGTGTTTTATATAGATCATTTCATTTAATTCTCATTTCAACATAGAGTCATTTTTATGAGTTCCCTCACTTTACAGATGAGGAATCTGCAGCATAAGGAAGTTCAGCAACCTACCAAGGGTACGTAAGTAGTAGCTGATGGAGCCACGTTTCTCTTCCAGGGTCCGATTGCAGCACTACACTGTATGGTTTCCCTATGTCACTCTCCCATGGTGATGTGACCTACTCTCTAATCTGTTGTCTTTGCCTCTTGTTCCTTGCAGTGTTATCAGACTCGCCCTGGACCAACACCTCTGGATCTTGCAAGGGCAGATGCTTTGAACTTCAAGATGTTGGACCTCCTGATTGTCGGTGTGACAACTTGTGTAAGAGTTACATCAGTTGCTGCCATGACTTTGACGAGCTCTGTTTGAAGACAGGTATGTAACTTTTGAGTCCTCTCTAGTTTCAAGTAGATGGCTTAAAGACTCCTTAGTGTTGTACACCCTGGAGTTGTGTCACCCTAGTCTACCCAAACTGTGGATTTTAGTTTTGTCTTTTGAATGATTAGTGATTGTATGATGAGCACACCCTGTGTGAATGACTGTTTCTGCACAAGATGCAGCCAAAGAAGGTTCTTTGCTGATGCAGTCATTATGTGCTGGTTTTGAAAGTGATTTTTTTTCCATCTTCATCATTTCTGTCCCTAGTTTTCAATTTCCACATCCACTGCTAGGGCAAGTGGGCTAAAAGTGTGTATATTTTTTAAGAAAAAAAATTTTTGGCTTGCTTTCCAAGTTTCTAGCATTTGTTTTATTAATAGTTCATCTTATCATACAATGACTGTTAGTCTATCCTGATGTCATTCCCTATTCTCTCTACAAGTGGAAAATTGTTATGGAATTCTTTTTGAAGTCTCAAAAAGAGACTGTATTGGTAGCTCTAAAATTTTCCTTTAAAGTCTTCTTGAATTTCTTTACATTTCTTCTGTACCAAAACAGTTATTAGAATATACAGGGATAGATGCACATGACTTAAGAAAACACCTTTGGGGAATGTTGCCATCCTACCTAGTCTGTTTTCAAAGGTCAACATTTCAGACAGGACTTTTGAGATATCTTATAGGCTACCCACTATACCTTCATGCAAAACCATATTCAAGCTATCTAGAAAGACAACTCTCAACCCTGTTCCTAACATCACTAGAAGCAGATTCCACAGTTCCCTTGACAAATTATTACTTGTTTATAGACTTCTATGCATTTCAAAAATCTAACTTACTAGAAGGATCAAACTAACAGCAATGTTAACATGATATAATTAGAAAGAGACATTATTTTCTTTTGCTTAAGCAATCGCCCTTGAGTAATATGAAATTTGATATCAACTCCCTTATTAATTCTGATTTATTTGCTGCCCACCTCCAAATAAGAAGAGCTTCATTACACTGTTTTTTGCATTATACGTTTTCCAAACATTTAGCCACTTTTTTTTTGTTGTTGCTTTCCTTTGGAACGTCTCCCAGGTTCCTTTAGTTGTGAGTCTGCTAACTTAATTGCTGAGACCATTGTAAACTGAATATATGGATGGAGCAGATGTTCTAGCAGAGTTCTTTGCTTCTAAAACATTATTTCAAACCAGCAGTTTGTGTTTGCTTAGCACCAAGGAATTTACTAATGTTTTATGTTTCCTCCCTACCTAGAGTATGTTGTCCCTGACATGTCATCTCAACTTTCCAGATTCCTGGTCTTAGACTTCTTTGCAAACTGTAATAGGTCTCCTGACTCTAGCTTAGCTCTCTCTGAATATAGTTCATGCTTTTCTTCCTAGGTTTATTAAAGTTGGAATATAATAACATTTTATAAAGTAGTTTATTTCCCTGTGTACATAGATAACATATGCTGAAAATGGAAGGATCAAATACCAAATATAAATTAAAATTTAAAGGAAAAAAACAAGTCTCTAGAGGTTCTACTATGCTGACAGAGCACTCTCTAGAAACAACCAGAATTTTTTTTTTTACCCCAATTTTGATCCAGTTAGAAACAACCAGAATTTTTCAGTGTAAACTCTCATTACTTCTTGCATGTGTGTGTTTAGTATGTATATTTATACAAGTGTGTATACACACACACACACACACACACACACGTGTGGGAGAGTATCTGTATTAATGAGCCTTAATATACATCATCCTTTTGAATGGCTACATAATATTCCATCAAGTAGTTGCAGCCTAATTCATTGAGTAATTAGTCAACATTTATATTTCTCCAAATTTTGCTATTATGGATGATGGCTATATCAATGAATACTGTTTATACATATTCATACTTTTTTCTATATTCCTTAAAATAAACTCCTAGGAGTGGGATTTGGGGCTCAGAGTGTATATGTGTTTTTAAAGTTTAAATATTAATATATATTACAAAATTATACTTTTGAAAGCTTACATTTTACCAAAAGGTAAAAGAGCCTTCCCTACTTCCTTTTCAGCATTGGCCACTCTAATTTTTAAAAATCTTTTTTTCTCATGATAGGTGGCTTCTCATTTTCCAATAAGGTTGACTATTTTTCATGTTTACTCCCATGTTTGCTTTGAAAATTACACATCTGACTGACTTTTGGTTTGCTTCTAGTTCACTTTGAACCCCGAATTTCTTTTTTATTCCATTCTTATACAAAGTCAGTAGTTCCTCAATAAGTGTAGCTTTTTAATAGTGATGTTCTTCTATAAGTAAAGGGATATTTTTATGCAATTAGGGGAGGAATAAAAATATATTGGTGAGTAGGATCATCCTTGAATTGGAAAAAAAAAAAACCCCACAATCTCTATCAGTCAAAGCAATCTTAGAAAATTGCTAACTACTGGGAGTAGCAGATTATGGGTTAAGGAATTCTAAACACTTATTTTATTTGGTAAGAGATGAGAGTAGAAACAATGAATATTAAACAATCAGAGAATGGGGTCAGGATGCAAAGATAATTCTAAAAGAAGAAAAATTAAATATCTGTTGCATGGTTTTCCAGCAAATGGCCTGCCCAAAGAGGCAGAGGTGGGACTTATGCATGGCAACTAATATCTATTTATCCATTTATTTACCTAACACTGGTTTCTCTTAGTAGAATATTACTATGAAGTAGCATTGCTTTCAAAATCATTATTTCCACTTAAGACATATTTTAAGAGATGAAGACCTGAAGTGTCCATATGTCCTTCAGCTTAGTGATACCTTTCTTGACCATTCTACCTCTGGGAGCACCCCTCCATCCCACCCTGTCAGTCTCTGTTAATGCCATCAGTTATTTTCTTCACAACACTTAGCACAAGCTGAAATAATCTTGCTTATTGCTTATGGTTTGTCTTTCCCGATTGTCATGTTAGCTCTATGTAGACAGGGACCTTGGCTCTCTTGTTCCCCAGCACCTAGAAAACATGGTATAAAGATTTATTGAATAAATAAAATAACTATGAATGTTCTTAATATGCCAGTCCCAAAGTTAAAGAGTCATATTTTACTTCCTTGGTTATTTCCAATTAGATTTAATAAATATTCATTGAACACTTAGCATGTGCCAGCCATGATCTCACAGTCTTATAGTTTGTCATTGGAAATATTATATAATGGTGAAAAGAGAGATGTGGTTTTCCCTGTCATGGATTTTACACATTAGCAGATAAATACATCAAACAAAAAATGTAACACTCTCTTTAAAATGAAAACATTACTTTTCTGAAGCTATCTTCTTGGAAGAGTTGAACTATGAGCTCTCAATCAAGTATGCTTGGAGGGAAATCTGTAACCTATTTGCTGACCTCCTTAGAAGTAGGGACTCTGCCCTAGTAGTTGTAGGTAGGACCACATTTTGGTCAATGGTTAGAATGGTTTGATGCCCCTTTACACTCTTCGTATCTGTGTAGGACTTTAACCTGCAGGTGCATCTCATAGCAGATAGTGATCATGTCATTGCACTGTCATTTGTATTTAAAATGAGATGATTAAAGTTAAGCAAAGCTACTTTGTAAAATAAAAGAGCCAAGCCGTCAAGGCTATCCCTACAATGGTAGATACTCCTATCACATGCCTTAGGTAGTGTACATTTTGTTAAGCCCTTTAGGACAATTGGAGAATGGTAGGGATTCTTGCTCACCCTTTTACGTTCTATTTTCCCAAAGGAACCCAATTGCATTTTGACTTTGTTCACTGATTTGAAAACTTAGAAATTCAGCCTATCTCTTAAGTTCTTCAAATATCATCTAGGCCTCAGGCCAATCCAAATTTCACAAGCAGAGTAAATGATGTGAGACGTTGGCTCTTTTTGTTGGAAACCCTGTAAGCAGTTGTGGCCTCTTTGATTTGGTTTGTGTGCAGCAGTGAAAATGTTTTATTGTGATGATTTTAGCTCGTGGCTGGGAGTGTACGAAGGACAGATGTGGAGAAGTAAGAAATGAAGACAATGCCTGTCACTGCTCGGAGGACTGCTTGGCCAGGGGAGACTGCTGTACTAATTACCAAGTGATTTGCAAAGGTACACATTTTCCTTCAATTACCCTGAGCTTTAAAAGACTAAGAACTGGAGATGCCTCAAGAGATCTGGAATATTAGGGATGTAACACTTTGGATGTGGGTTTGGGAGGAGGGAATGAGTTGGGGTTTTTAATTTCTTTGCTTCTTTCTTAGTTTTGCTACCCTACATTTCATTGATCTGAAGTAACAAAGAAATAAACCCAAATTCCATAATTAGATAGAAACATAATGAAGATAGTTCTAAACTTTCTGTCTTGGTTTTAGATCATATTTCCTAGAAGCAGAGCCTAAGACAGGAATTTAGGACAAGTAGTTTATTGAGGGAATACTCTTTAGGGAAACCAGGACAGGGAGCAAGGGAAGCAGGATAGGGAAGGAGGGGTCTGGAGACTTAAGCAAGGATGTGGTCTCAGGTATAGTCTCATCTTGGCCTTCTCTGTTGCTTGCTCTGAAAAGTGAATCTCGGAGTTACTACTCTTGAGGCAAGGGGACGTGGCTTTTGCATCCATTGGGTATAAGCTGTTCACCAAGACGTTGGCAGCAGCCTGGGGATGAGGGTACTTGCTGGTAAAAGGGATCAGGGCACCAATAGCCCCTGTTAGAATCCGAAAACATACATACAGGTGTTGACCTTGTATGGTTGATTGTGGAACATGATGCTTTTATTCTAATAATTAACACTACTAATGGACTACAGAAAATATAAAAGATGCACCTCCTATTTGTAAGAAGTTTAAGTTGCCATGCTACCTACTTATAGAAGTTAATGGGAAGACCCAAGAATCTTTATTTCTAGTTTCCCAAGTCACTTTTTAGTTTCTAAATTCAGTAGTCTTCTCTATCTCTGACATGGAACACTTAAGAAGAGTTTCTGTTAAAAGATTTCAGGGAAAAAGCCAGTCAGTTCTGAAATATGTGAGGTCTTCAGTTGTGGCAAGAGGGTATTATATTAGTGAATTTGGAAAACTCCCCCTACTCAAACAATTATCGTATGGTAAATTTCCTCTACCCAAACAATTATGCTTTTATTTTAAAGCATAAAATTGATTGGGAATTTATTTCCCTTTCCTTTTTAATTTTCCTGTGTAATAAGTGTACCGATAAATCACAAAGGCTCTTAGAAGAAAAGTCTTAGTATCACTGGTCATTGAATCACTAAACTTTGGCTTTTACTGGTTTAAAATCCTTGTTCCAGTATTTTTGTGAGGGTCCGTGTGAATGCCCTGGGTTACTACGTGTGTGGCAACTCTTCCCTATTTTAGGGAGCACAGTATTTACTTCTGCAGTTCTCACTTAGTCAGATTCTCATTAACCAGAAGGGATTTCCAATTCTTTTTACATGGGAGCAGTTTCTCCATAGTGTCGGTCACAAATTCCACTTCTGTTCAAGACATTTGTTTGTCTTAGAACAATATAAGGCAAATTCTTCTTGATAATTTTTATTTCCTTCAAAGGATGCCTGATTTTCTATCTGAGCCCTTTTCTCGTCTCTCTCCTTGATAGTGGTAACTTAGGAAAGACTTAGGTTTATGTTCTGAGATCTTAGTGGAAGATAAAAGTGAAAGATAGCATTGGTTTTTTATTTCTAAATTCAAGGGCTGTTCAAAGATCTGTTGGCAAATAATCTCTCTTTTGGAATCTTCCATCTATCATCTCTGCATATCCCCAGCCTTTCTTTCCCAGCATCTAGAGGGAAGTTGTGCCTTGCTTTCTATGGCTTTGAGATCTTCAGTGGTGGAGAAAAGAATGTTCCATCTAATGACCAAATAGTTTATTTCTGGAGGGATACAAACATGAAATTTTGTTCACTGACGCCACTGGTTTTTTTAATCTACAAACCATTTAGACTCAGAAGGCCCAAATAAACACCACACCACTTGTGGTTATTAAGTCTTAGCTTTCCCACCATGTATGGGTGTACTTTATAAGCCAAACTAGACACTAGACTTTACTTCAGAATTTCGTTTTAGATGATGTCTCATAAACAAGTATCAAATTGGACACAGGTCATGGAATTGTGTGCTTCAGGGTGCTGGGTGACATTTACGATTAGATTCAACAATAAACTTACCTGTTTTTCCTTATAGGAGAGTCACATTGGGTAGATGATGACTGTGAGGAAATAAAGGCCCCAGAATGCCCTGCAGGGTAAGTGTATTTTATGAATGTTATGAAGTTTTATATATTAGCTGATAAAATATCACAGGAAATGGATGGGCAAATGGTTAGAAACAATGTTAAGCGTGAAATCTACTTATACAGGAACACTTATGAGTACTTATAAGTAATTCACAGTCAAACGCTATAAATTACATCTTGCAGTAGCAATATTTTTTTTGTCAATGTTCTCCTATCACCTCCACGCATTTGGGAGCCTGAATATCCCTTATATTCCACCTTTGCTGAAGATTGTAAAGAGTGCATCTGAAAACCTCTGAAGAAGGAAACATTTCTGGCAGTGACTTTTTTCTCAGTATTTTTTTTTTTTCTGGAGTTCTGCTTTTGACTTTTTTGTGGGGGCTGGGGGGAGTGAAAGGGGAACTATAGAACTTCTAAAAAATATCATCCAAGATGGTAACTCCTACCAGATGCTGCGGAAACTTGATGAACCACTGGGACGCTGCTTGGCTGGGGTACAGCCAAACTGAGTGACACCCTACAGCTCAAGTGTGACCAGCATAAGGCACTTATTACGCCTTCCAGGAAACTGTTGAAAATTCATAAACCCTTAAAATGCTTGGCGGAAAATACATTTTTCAACAAATGTGTTTTCATCAATGTATTTGTTCTTTCAATGTATTTTTTGTTTTAGGCAGCACAGACTGGGACACAAACATCTAAATATTTAGATGTCTTTATTTTATCCTCCTGTTTAACCTTAGTGAGCCATTTGAACTTCTTTGGGATTGTAGAATGAGATGGCAGTAGTTTCTGACATGTGTTGAGTTTTTTTGAGAAAACTATAGTTTTCTCAAAAGCCCTGTTAAATGATAATAGTAATGATAATAGTGAACCCTTATATAGTGTTGTTTTAAGTACATTATATATAACTCATTTAAAATATGTCTTCTTATTATATAGTTTCAAATAATCTCAAGCCTATACTTGCTCAATTACCTTCAAACTTTTAGAAATAATTTTGTATATATTTAATATTCTCAAGTCTGATCGAACAATTATATCTTCAGAATATAATAAAAAACAATTTCATTAGATCCTGCCTTGGGTAGATGGGTTGTCTAGTCCTTTAGTGATATATTTTTTAGAGATCTTTAAAAGTTTAAATTATTTTTGAAATTATTTTATAATCAAACATAAAGGAATATATTTTTTATAAGTACTTAGATCTAGTGGTAGGAGTGATACTGATTTTAATTTCATATTCATTAATTAATGTATTTAATAAATATTTATTGAAGCCCTATTGTGGGTCCACAAAATGGAAAGATGAATAAGATACAAACTGTACTTTGAAACTAGTGAGGAAATGTGTTAATAGATCATTCTAATATAATGTAAAATGATATACATATGAATGATGTATATGATGTATATGAATGATGAAAGAAGTATGAATTAATATCTTAAAGGAATTCAGAAGTGTGAACAACTAACATTATAGAAGAGGAAACTTTAAGCTGGGTTTTAAAGATTGAATAGGAGTTGGCCAGGTAGCAAATGGGAGAATATGTATTGTAGGCAAATATAATCCTTTTTTACATTCTCTATAACCTGGTTTGCCATGTGAGAGGCAGCAGTCTCAGGAAGTACCTTAGGGCCAATCTGGAGTCAAATCCCTTCCCTGGCCATTTTGTGGCCTTGGTCATTTAACTCTGGACTTCAGGCACTTCAAAAGTTGTGTAGCTGGAAGCCCAGGCTTATCCAGATATCCTCCTTTGAAGTTGCTTCTTAGAAATTATGGGTCCCAATTATTGAGAATGAGTAGGTGTAATGGAAACTCTGTGGCAATAATCTTTCTAAAGCTTAATGTGTTACTGTTTAAGGTTTGTTCGCCCTCCATTAATCATCTTCTCTGTGGACGGCTTCCGTGCATCATACATGAAGAAAGGCAGCAAGGTCATGCCTAACATTGAAAAACTAAGTAAGTAATTTCCATACTCTGTGTTCTCATCCGTAATCCAGAGTCTCACAGTAACCAGTCTGCTATGGGCTTTGAGATCTATGGGCACATTGTTTTAAATTTATTTCATTATTTGAATACGAAAGTGAAGGTAACATGTTTTTCATCATTTATAAAATGGATTTTTACACATGAAGTGATTCCTTTTGGTTCCCTGTTCTAACATCTGAAATTCTGTTTCCAGGGTCTTGTGGCACACATTCTCCTTACATGAGGCCTGTGTACCCAACAAAAACCTTTCCTAACTTATACACTTTGGCCACCGTAAGTATTTTTTCAAATGGTATACATTCAAAGGGCTGCTTTTATCCTGAAATGACTTAAAGGGGGGACTTTTAAAACATATTCTTTATTGTTCAAAGAAAATCTTTCTGTTTTCCATCTTATCTGCATCACTTGTTCACAGCAAATGCCTTTTACAACTTCATGGGTGACTGAACTTCATTGCAACTTTAAAACTGAAACATTTTCTCAGGTGCAGTTCTGTCTGAACACATATATTAATCTTCTCTCAAATATCAAAGGGTGTATTGTTTATTTTCTGAATTTGCAATTAAAAATGTTGACTTCAGGGCTGTTATGTCTTAATTTTCAGGTACTTCAAATTCCACCTTGCTTTCTTCTTTAAAACATTATTTATTTATTATTATTGCTATTTTTATTGTTGTTTTAGGGAAGAATAGAACTTAGAAAGAAAGGAAAGTGTATTTAGAAATAGAAGCTTCTTTGGAAACACGTGCATAAATTTAAACTAAAGATTAATTTATTGTAATAAAATTGTCATCTTATTAAATTAAAACAGCTAAACCCCCCAAATATTAAGTTTCTTATAGTCAGGTTAAGTTTCTCAGATGGCTTATAATTAGTTCCATCGATATTATTCATGTTTGCTCAGACTGATACACAGTAAAGGTTACATATATCTTATGTAATTTTGTAAATTAAATATTGCTATAAAACCTCTGTGATACGAAATTTTATAATAGAACTAAACATGTGGATTATTATATTGTTACTTTAACAATAAATTTGCTTTTACACAAAGGGACTGTATCCAGAATCACATGGAATTGTTGGCAATTCAATGTATGATCCTGTATTTGATGCTACTTTCCATTTGCGAGGGCGAGAGAAATTTAATCATAGATGGTGGGGAGGTCAACCGGTAAGTTCGCGTTTATTTTGTGTGTATGTGTGTGTGTATGTGTACATCGAGAAATTTCATCTCAAAATTTTCCACTTGTGAGAAAAATACATATAATCTTCTCATACTTGGCAATGTTTCTGTCTTTTGATATTTTATATATACACACACAAAAAAACACTATGTGTATACATGCATAATACATGTATATATGTGTGTATATAATATATGTGCATATATGCATATATTGTATATATGAAATATTTATATATGTATGTGTAAATGTAATACATGTGTGCATAAATAAAATACATGTATATATACATATGGGTATGTGTCTATGTGTGTGTATATATATATATGTGTGCATGTGTGTCAGGCTGTGATTATAAAAGTATGAGATGATAAATGTCTTCACTAGAATGATAATGGTGAAAATGATGTTAAGAGGTGAATTTCAGAATGATGTTGAAGAAAAAATAGTCAGATCTTACTGATTTATCAGATTTAGGGGTACAATGAAAAAGAAAAGTGAATGATTATGACTTCCCCAATATATTTTGACCCGGGCACCATAATCAACAGCAAAAGAGAAACTTGCTGGAAAAAAAGAACTCACTGCAACCCACAATAAAGTCACAAATTCTTTTATTTAATTCATTTTTTAAAAAAATCATGGAAATTAAATATAATAAGGAGAATCCTACCTTGATACAAAGCAAAATAATACTTTGAAAGAAATTACCCTGTTTACTTCAGATCAAATGGCTGGGCAGAAAATAAAAAGGGATGTGGGTGGCTTTCTACCTAATGTTTTTCCTGAGACTGTGTATGATTAGGCAGCTTGCTTTGGTCGGGCATGAGCAAAGCAGGATAAGGCCATCACTGTTGAATGTGCAGAGTTGGGCTGAAGTACAGGCTTCTGGCCAGAAGGATCAGCATCCCCGCAGGAACATACCTCAGTGCACACAATCAGAAACATCTAGAAGATGGATAGCAAATGATTCCATCTCATGCCAGCTCTGATTGGAAGTAGAGACTCTCTAGAGTGCTGGTTAGGGAAGTGGGCTGGGAGAGCTGTGCGCAGTCTGCCATGGCATGAGAGGTGGGCACATCCATGTGTCCACTGTGCCTCAGTGATCCTGTACCTGGAAGTGTTTACTGCAGTCCATGGGCAAAAGGGAGCTATAAATAGGAATTTTTTCTTAAGGCATTGCTTTTTGAGAAAAGGTGATCAAAATATTTTTACTGCATAATAGCTAAATCAGTATGCAAGGATAAATATGAGCTTTTTTTATTTAAAAAATAAACATTGGAAGACTTCTTGCATGAGTGTAGAAAAGTTTCTTCACAATAGATGTTCTGATTCTGCTGTCTTTTTTCAGGAGGGACTCCCAGATGTCTATGATGACCTAGGTTGTGATTGCAGTGAAATTTGTTGACAGGGTGGATTTCACAAACAATGTTTATGATAGGGGAATATTTTATGAGTAAATAAAATGATTGAAATTAGAGTTCTGTCAAGCTGTCTCTAGTTGGTCTTTTATATTACTTTTGTCATGGAAGCAAACTTGCCTGAGGAACTACAAAGGATATAGAGATAAATAGTAATTTTATCAACTTGGATCACCTTACACCAAGTGTTGACATTAGGTTTCCTCTGGGTTAGCATGACTCAGAAGAAGGTGAGTCCACATATTCATTAACTTCTGCGGAAACAGAGCAGAGGGAATGCTGTTAACCTGCTCCAGGAAGTGAAGTGTCTGTTTCAACTCTGCCTGTTTCCTCCCTAACTCTCAAAGTTGACATATTTGACCAAGTTTAGTACTCTTTTCATCTTGAACAAGAGTTTTGGTGAGACTGATTTGTGTTTCTGTCCTGTTAGATAGGAATGGCCACCATAAACATTCCAAGGTGCATTGTAGCTGTAATTTAGAAACACATTTTATTGAAATTTGGCATGTAGGAAGAGCAGATAGACAGAAACTATGGTTCTGTTGTTCTAATACACAGTGGGGTGACTGTAGCAAATGACAATATAGTACATAGTTCAAGATAGCTAGAAGAGATGATCTTGACTGTTGTCACTGCAAAGAAGTAATAAATGTTTAAAGGGATGGATATGGTAATTATACTGATTTGATCATTATATAATGTACACATGCATTGAAACTGTATCCCATAAAATATGTACAATTATTATGTCAATTACAAATAAAAATAATAAAAAATAAACTTTAGTCAAAATATGACAATATAAGAAATGAAAAGTACTATAAGAAAATATTAATAAATATTCTTCAAGCATTTATATAATGCTCTCAGAGGCTTATATATTTTCATAGTCACCAGTGAAAAAATATTCATAAAGATCTTAGAAATTTTTATAAAATTTTAAGAGGAGATATTTGTAAAAATGTTGGACTGGTAATTAAATTAAACTCAACTTATTTTTGCTGAAGGATTAAACTATGTGAGTCATTTAGCTAAATAATATCAGAGCCAGATTAAATGGTGAATAAGAACCACTTCTTATCCAAGCTTGTCTAGTAGAAGGGATGAAGCATTTGTACCATGTCCATCCAGTTTGAATTGCACTGTTAGGCTTCCAAAAATAATTCCTATAATTTAATCTTTTTTTCTTTTTAAATCCTGGTGTAGCCACTTTAGCAAAGTCTAGTCTGTTTTTAATTTGGTAATCCTCAGAATGCACTATTAGAAGCTGTCATTCACTGTAGGACCCTATGTTTCTCATGCATATGTTATTGGAGTTCCTTAAGTGTGTTTGTTTCTTTGAAAATCCTCTCTGGCCAGTCCTGCAATTTCTACTATGAAGATACTTCCGTGGGGTTGTTCCCTGTTTGTTTTAAACTTGAACTCTTAGCAATGTGGAGAATGAATAGGACTCTTGGGAGCTGACTAGTTGTGAGGAGCTGAGAAACAAGTCCAAAGCCCCATCATGATCCAAATCCTCTGAAATCAGTTTCTGAAGTGAGGCATTTCTAAGAGGAGCAGATGCATTCTTAACACTTCTCAAGTTGCTTGCCCTAAAATTGCTTTCTGACAGTATTGGTGGTGTAATGAGTTCATACAGAGACCATCCTAGTGAATGACTATAGTGTAAAAATAGAAAGATGGCATGTTCAAAAAAGAGACAGCAAGGAGAAGAATGACATTAGAATAGGGCTGACTTTCCAGGACAAAGGCATTGGCTTGATTGAAAATACAAGTCATTGCTTAGCTCTCTTTTTTTCTGTGTTATTAACCTGCTTAGGGGAGGCTTTACTTCCTTTTACATACTCTTTATTCTGTTGTTTGTTTTCCATACAGTACTGTAGAGCTGTAGTTTTTCTCTTTGTACAGTATCTTCATGTACTTACTTAGGATGGGCTCTACTCACCTACTAGCCTCTTATTTATCTTCCAAATTTCAGATGAAGTGTCTGTCCCCAGGAGGCCTTCCCTAAGCTCTTCCAGCCCCAACTAAGCTAAGTGATCCTCCTTTGGGCTTTCATATTTTTTTCTATCATAAATCTGACCACCTCCTTTTGAAATTGGTTATTTGAATGTCTGCTTTAGACTGTGTGTCCCAAGTGGTAGGGACTTGGTTTATTTATCTCTCCAGAGCCTGGTACATTTAGGTGCTCCACTACTATGTTTCGGACTGGAGTATTCTGTGCTTCTTTCTGAGGCCTGGTTGCCCCTGCTCCCCCCAGGGTAGGTCGTCCTTAAGGAAAGAACTCTATTTTCTTGGTCATGATAGCTCCATGGCCACATGTCAACAGCTTCATCATGCACCTCCTTCTGGCCCTAACCATGTAGAAAGCAGCCACACTGCTTCCCAGTCAGTCTATTCTGCTGCCTCTCCCAACACTCACATCCTTAGTTTGTTCTGATTCTCAGCAATTGATCTACCTCTGCTAAGGTAAGAGCCCTGCCCGACTGTCTCATCTCCCAGAATTCTATTTAGCCTCTGTGCTTTTGAATGCAAAGGAATAACTTTTCTTTAAAGAACTTCTAGAAGACTATAATAGTAGTTTATGTTTTTTAAAAAATGTTTTTGGCTTATTTTCTTTTTCACACCTCTTCTCCCATAGCTACATACTTACTTCGAGAAAGTGTTGAATTTCATATTTAACGCCTCCTGGTTCCAGTGGGGAAGTTTTTTGATTCCTAATGACATATCAAGGAGATATAATCTTATTCCCCTTTGTCCCCTTTTCACAGTATAGCATCTAGGACCCAAACGTTGAAAGCTGGAGCTCCAGCCAAAGTGAAGCAGTGAAGGAAGTATTGGGATTAAAGGCAGGAAGCCCAAACCCAGTGTCTTCTTAGATTATTTGTTTTTTTAAACCAACTTCTGAGGAAATTTATGTTGCATTCAAATTCAGAGAAATCATAACTCTCATTTCTTTGAGTTAACAAGGAACCAGGAAGCTTCTCTCTCTCCCCCATTTTTATAGCCCTAGAGGTTTATTTTATTTCTTTTTATTTTATTTTTCATTTTATTGAAAGATGGGGGTCTTGCTGTATTGTCAAGACTGGTCTCGAACTCCTGGACTCAGGCTATCCTACTTCTTCAGCCTCCCAAAGTGCTGGGATTACAGGTGCAAACCATTGTGTCCATTCTGTTAGAGGCTTCTTTTCATTTTTCTTCTTCAGGACCAACATTTTAGTGCCCTTTTTGTTGTTGGTGGTGGTAATTACCAGAGTTATCTTCTGGGTCCTGAAATATAATATATACATATGGCCTGTGAAGGAACTGTTATGCCAGCTCATGGTGTGATTTCAGAACCTTTTCTATGTTTCAATCTTGCACTGTTTGCTGACCCTTGACAGATCTGACTAATTAGTGCTAGGATTCTTTTGTTTCAGATTTTTAATGTGCTTTTTATTTCAAATATTCTCTACTTGTTCACTTTTTGCATTTTTCTGACGATGCTCTCAATTTTCTTTTAGAAAATATGGTCAACATGACTTTTACCAAGAAATAGGAAGAATTTTTCTGCTTGTTTTTTTTTTTTTTAACCTGTAAATTGTCTTCATAGTTCATATTATTTTTTAAACCTGGTTAGTTTTTTTTCCTGATTACAAATATGTTAATTATCACTGCAGAAATGTTGCCAAGTACAGAAAAGTATAAAGAACAAATGATCCTAATTTTCCCATCAGAATAATTTTAACACACTTTGTCATCTTCACCCTGTAAGCTTCTTCCTTTTAACACTGCAAAGACCCCTTCTGGTGACCTTTTTTATGGTGGGTTACTGAACTAAGTTACTTGTAGGGCTTCCGGTTGCCCAGATAATGCCAGCATCAACATGTATTCTACAATATAATTTTGAAAGTACAGGGTCATCATTTGACAAATTTGTATTTAAAACAATATTTCCTTTAGAAAATCCCAGATTGATCTTATACTTTATATATGCCAAATATAGCCTGGTATTATTCCCTTGGGAATAGCAAGGCACTAGATTTTCTAGGAAGTTGTTTGGATGTGAATGTGCTAAGTTCATGTCTGTGAAATTAAAATAAATGTGAAAATAGATTACTGTAAGAAACTGGCCTCTCTGTGAACTGGCATGGTTTTGAGGCACCCACAGAGTGTCCAACACTTAGTTTGAGCTCATCTTCTTGCTGGTGGAAGCACTGAAGAAGAAAGAATAAAAACACAGGACCCATTCTGTACCTGGTTGGCCTGCAGATACTGGGGCATACACCAGAGTTTGTCCATAAAGCAGAAGAAGCTCTGGACGATAGGGTTGAGGGTGCTCAGAGCAATCTGAAGTCCTAATCTCTCTGAACTATCTTAGGGAACCAGAGGTCCTGCCAGCCAGGTCTAGCTCCCCAGAGCAGTGTGAATGGGATGAGGACCCCACCTGCCATGCTGATGAAATTCACTTGCAGTTTAGAACTCCATGGATCTGACAGAGCATTGTATGCTCACCTGCCTGTCACTTACTTGCCAGCTGCAGTAGCTGTGATTTGGGGGGCTAGGGATTTCTAGATGCCCCAAGAGGCCTGAATCCTTTTAGAGCTTTCTCAGGGCAGGCGTCCCAGACCCTTGGGAGCAAACGGCAAAGCTCCTGGATGCCCTACACCTCCTAATCACCCATTTCCTCAAAAAATAAAAGTGTTCATTCTCAAAGGACACTCTCAAAGTCTGGATGCAATGAAACCAGAAAAGGGACTGGCTACGATTCCTAAATCATTTTTGCTTTGGTCTTAGACAAACCACAGTTCTCTCTCCTATTTGCCTCCATTCTCTTGTCTTTCTTCTCACAGACTTCTGTTCGACTGGACACTTGCCATCTTAAGCTGTTTTTAATGTTCCTAGAATAACTAAGTTACTTTTATTTCCATTGTTGCATAATAGTCAAGACTGAAACTGAGTGTTTATCAAATGTTAAGACACTGGTTTAAAGATTTTTAAATGTATTAACTCATTAAAGCTTAGAATAATCTCCTATGTGCTAGATAATATTATCTACATTGTCAAGGAAACTGAAGCACAGAAAGGTTAAGGAACTTGCTGAAGGACCACATGGCTGCTAAATGACAGAAACAAGGCTTAGAATCCAGGCTGTCTGGTTGCAGATCCCAGGTTCTGAACTCCCATAATCTTTTGCTTCCCATGTGTTGTATAGAATATTTTAAAGCCTTAATGAAATGCTTGAGTTGCCTAACTTATCCCAGGAACTTTCCCCTAAAATAACATTTACTAAAAGGCTAGGTAAAAGATATGGGGAAAATCCAGATTAAAAATTAGTCTCCCCTCCCCCCATTCATCTAGTTGAAAATAAAACAAGTCAAGTTAGGTTCCAAGATTCTGACATCTGGGTGCCAAATTGGGGCGCTCCTCTGTAGGGCTTTCAATAGTAACGGAAACATATGGCCTACTCCTGGGTCCTTTGATGAGCAGAATTCTGCCACATAAATGAAATATTCAAAACAATTATCAGAAAAGACAGGTACAGAAAAAGAGGGAGCCTTGAGATGAAATAAGAGTTGCTTTTTTTTTTTTTTTTCAATGCCACTAGAATCATAGAAGAGCTTGAGAGCTTTTGCAGAGAATGTATTGGATAACTTCTATGGAAATACTGATTCTGACTTCCAGATGTGAAAATAAAGGGTTGCAAATAATGTGAAATTTATGTTGGGGTGTGAGTAGAGTCTAAGATATCTGATATAATGTATCTTTTAAAAAAAACTTTTTCTTTTTTGACCCAAAACTCAGAACATATTATAAGCCTCTTATATTTTCCTCATTAGCTATGGATTACAGCCACCAAGCAAGGGGTGAAAGCTGGAACATTCTTTTGGTCTGTGTAAGTTACCTTTATTTTGTTAATAGTTATAAAATTCAATTTTGATAAATTTCAGTTAAATGTAAAAGTATTGAACTTCTGAATTTTTGCTGGTTTAAAATAACCTTTCAGGTATTTTTTTTTTTTCCTGAAGTCCTTCCTCTATGCTTCTTCCTATCTTCTCTTACTTGCCTATCTCTTCTTTTTTCCATCCTCTCTTAACAGAATGTAAGAAAAGAAGGAAGTTTTTCTCTTCTTCTTCCAGACATCCTGCAGATTTTTCTGTCCCTGTTTGTAGGTTTTGCTAACTTGACACCTGGGAGATATCTATTTCTCTTAGACTTTTTATTGCTGTGATTTGCATTCTCATTTTCTATAAATATATTACAACATACTATATTTATTCTGGTTCACAGCTTTTAAAAATCTAGTGTGCTCTCAGGCATCAGGGGAGCTGACGGAGTGATCCAGAGGTTGGAAGTTCCAGACAGGAGACCAAGGGGAAGCCTCTGTTTATACCTCATTTCCCTACAGAGCTCCAGGATTTTCCTAATAAGAAAATGGAGCTACTTCTCACCCCCGCAGAGGTGATGGGGGGGGATAAGTAGTCAATGTTTATAAGCCTTAAGATGAAACTTACCTATAAAAGTGTCAACATGTTGATTACTTTTAAGGCTCCTTAGTAAGAAAAGGAATCTGTTTCAACTTTCATGGGGATTTTGTTCCCACTGAGATGTTCTTTCCGTCTTTTTTTTTTTTTTTTAACCACCTAAAACTGTTTCCATATTTGCCTCTTATGTTTAACAAACATCTGACTATTCTATAATAGCAGTGTGCGGAGGGCAATCACAGATTCGAATTAATCCAGAACGGTACCGTCTATATTCTCCAAAATCAGGAATAAAAGTAGCCCTTTCAGATTTGAAAGGCTAAATTGAAATTGGGTTTGGTGATCTGAAGCTAAGACAGAGCGTCCTTTTAACAGTATTTTTCTTTTTAAAAGAGGTTTCTGAGTTGAGAAATAAGTGTGGGCATGAGAGAAATGATACCGCTTAACATAAATGGCATGTTGATTTACCAATTTTATCTTACGCATTGCATTTTTTTTTTAACACTTGACTGGCATAGATGCTTCTAGAAGTGACTTCTTGTGCTCCACAACATATTTGCCTGGAAGGGTGGAGAGGGGCCAACAACATAATTAATACTCAGTCCTCACCTTTGCCCCCTGAAACGGCTGCAAAGCTTCATTGAAAAGGCCCAGTGTTCTGGTTTTGAATGGCAATTTTCTCCACCCATTTGAGACCACTTACAAGAAGGTGGCTTTTGTGCTCCAAAGATGTCTGTAGTTTGGCTTTTCTCCTCAGACTATTCTTCTTTTATCTCTATATCCTAGAAGATATAGATTCATTTTTCTTGGATTCATTTTTCTCTTTCTCTTTTCTTTTTTTGAAGCTTTTTATAACTTAAAAAATCAGTTATTCAAGGGAATATATGTCAAGGAAATCTATACAGAGTACATTCTGAAAATTTAAAAATTTAAAACCAGATTCCATCCATGAACTTAGACTTTGAAGGCCATCTTTTTAACATGGTTCTGTGCTGCAACCTAGAATTATTCTTGTTTTTTAAATGATAGTATTTCATTCCAAAATCATGCTCAGCTGATGCACCATTCTTTTATGCCGATTCATGTTCAAACGCAGTAATTCCCATTATGCATGAGTGTTTAGGTTGATTCTAATCCCACCTCTGCTGCTTATTAGATTGTTGACCTTGGACAAGTGATTTAATCTCTCAACAAATCAATGTCCTCATCTTTAAAATGAAAATTATAGTACCTTCATCATGGGTCTTGTGGAGATGGAATGAGTTAATGTATTTAAAGTGCTTATTAGTGTACTTGGTACATAGAGAACATTTAATTAATGGTATTTGTTTTCTCATTCACATTATCTCTTTCAACATTGACTAGATAATGGCCATATATATATATCCTAAGGTAATTTAATCCCTTTGGTCAGTAAATACTTCATTTAGTCTTTTATTTTCCATTTTTCCTTTTTCTGACCACATTTCATGAATTTGGTCTCATGACAAATTCTCCACGGATCAGTGATGGTGAAGACGGTAGGCAAGGTGTGCCCCATTCCTCTTTCTGCTTGAATGTATACTTTTCCTTGGTCAAATTGATTTGTGCTGTTTCAGCATTGTATTTGAAACACTCCTGGGACGTGGCTTTTTGGTCTCTGAGATTATTTCACAGAGGTAATCTAGAACACCTAGGAAACTTAAGAGACCACCTTATCCAATTTCTCATTTAAGAAATTATGACACTAAACCCTAGAGTGATAAAATGTTACACCAAAGGTCACACTTCAGATGGATCGTTGGACCTCCAGAGTCTTCATCTTATGCTCTTAACACCAGTTCTCAATCAACCCCTGTCCAGAAAATGATAATCACCTACTTATCTTTCCCCCAAAGAGGGTGGTAACTCCTCCCTAATAATCTTTTTGGTAGGAGTGTCTTGTACTTTTACTTATGTTTACATAAATGCCTTGAACAGAATAGACCTTTAGTATGTATTTCATGAATGAATGTATCATCTCTGTGAATCTAATAGATCCACAAAGATGTGGACATATGAATTATAAAACAGAACATTTTTCTAAACCCTTTCTATGTGCCCAACACTATTCTGAGTGCTTTACATATATTATGTCTTTTAATCCTTACAACAGCCTTATGAAACAGGTGCTATTATTATCCTCATTTTCCAGAGGGTAGGTAATTGCCAAGTCTTATCACCAGCATTTGTTGGAGTCAGGATTCAAAGCCAAGCATTCTGACCTCACAGCTGGTGTTTTTCATTCCCTGTCTACTGCTGTTCAAGTACCCTATCCAATGAGGGCATTAAAGGGTGAGCATTCTGAGCTGCACACCAATTCTGTTAGCTTGTATTTTTCCATTAGCGTTAAAAGTGAGTTCACCAGGGTCCATTTATGTAGCTTAACACCAATTACATCAAATAAAGCAGCTTTTAGACAGGTAGTGAAATAAGGTAAAATGAAAAGTCTCCCGCATTTGCTTTTTTTTTTTTTAAGTTAGGAAAGAATTTAAAATATGAAATTATTTTGTTCAGATACAAGGGATTTCTTAGGCTGAAGGATTAAATTCCTTAAGTGATTAGCCGAGCTTTGCTCTGCCTATTTCAAATTCAATTATAGGATATAATAAACAGGGTCATATTTATTCACTAGTGTTGGAATATGTTTAAATTAGGACTCATTTTATGGTACAGACGATTTTCAGGTCTTGTATGGTAGTTCTAGAAAGAGAGGATGCCAGGGGAAAGACAGATCCCTGAGAGATGGGTGAAGAGGGGGAGAGGCCACTTGATTAGAGCCCCCTGCCAGCTCTAGCCATTAACCATGTCCTTCCCTTAGCTCTCTCACTGCTCACGTACACCAACAGTAAAAGTTTAGATGGCTCGCCAGTATCCCACAATAATTTTTCCTAACCACAGTTAAACCTGTGCTTTAGTTTGAATTCATCAGCAATATGCCTCTAATACTTGATCTTGGATGGGGAAGGAAAAAGGCATTTTGTGCTCCTTGTTTGCAAAGCATAGGTGAATTTCCCCTGAGTAAAGATACCACTCAGCTTGCGAGTATCTTAATGCAACTCAGCCCGGGATACAGTCCTATCATGTTAGCTGAAAGCTCCTAACGATCTTAAAACTAATGCCAGACTTAGGGTAATTATATTTCAACAGAGGAATGAGACTTAAACACAAAAGTCATTGTGGATGAAGATTATACCCTTTTTGTCAGTCTCATAATTATATGTGCCTATTCTTGATAGATTTTTATACAGCTCTAAGAGAATTTCAAGAAAACCTTCCCATACCCATTATTTTATAGAGGAGGCACTTAAAGTTTCAAATCAGATAATGTTTCTAAAGTCATATAGCTATTTAGGGGCAGAATGATGACTAATTGTGATCATTAATAAAAGGTTTTTTAGAACTTACTATGTGCCAAGCACTGTATAATATGCCCTTTCTTTGAGTTGTTTCATTTCATCTTTACAACCAAGCTGTGCACTTATGAGTTTATTTACTGAGGGGTAAACTGAGGTTGAGAGAGGTGAAGAGGCCTAGAGGTCACCCCCAGCAAGAGGCAGATTGGGGATTTGAGTACTGGCCCCTTTATGACCATAGCTAATGGCTCAACCACGTAACTGGCAATGATTCTGAAGCCCGGGTCCTTTCGGCTTGTAGAAGAGTTTCTGATTAGCAAGACAGGTTCCTCATTTTGACTGTGAATCAGACTTTCCAGTCTAATCTTCTGTGGAAGAGGTTGAGCAATGTAATATGTTGCGAATGGAAATGAAAGTTTAAACGCTAATTTGAAAGAGGGCCTTTTATTACAATGGAGTGAAAACAGATGGTGGTAAATAGAGAGCCTTTGGCCTGGGTGCAAGACCAAACACTCATCAGACTTGCATTTGTGGAAATGCAACTTAACAACATGCTTTGCTTGTTATTATCCTACAGAGTCATCCCTCATGAGCGGAGAATATTAACCATACTGCAGTGGCTCAGCCTACCAGATAATGAGAGGTATTTGTTTTCCTCTGTCTTTCTTCTTTTTTCAGTACATTTCTACCTCAGGTTAGACTTGAGCAAAACACTAGATAGACTATGAAATAAAAATTCAGCCGAGGTTTGGTATTAACAGTTTTGTGGTGCTTGGCCTTAAGCATTACTTCCCTAAGAAGGATACAGTGGATTTTGGTTATTGGGGACCATTTAATTACCTGTATTACTGCAGCTGTTAATCCTAGACACTGCAGCAGAGCCGAAGGGAGTTTCTGGCTTTGATAAATAAACTAGCAGCATTCCAATGATTGCGGAAACATTAAGACTTACTCTTTAATGGAGTTAGTTGTTCTTTCAGGCTGTAGATTGAGTGATGCATGTGATCATCACTGGGCTATATTATCTTGGGGATCAAAGATCAACACTTATGTGTGTATGTAATAGTAACACTCATGAGGTGTCGGGCAGGTGGGAGGGGGAGGAGGGGCATGGGTAAATTCACACATGATGGGTGCGGTGTGCACAGTCTGGGGATGGATACACTTGAGGCTCTGATTAGGGGAGGGCAAAGGCAATATATGTAACCTAAACATTTGTACCCTGTAATATTCTGAAAAAAGAAAAAGAAAAAAAAAAAGACCTGAGTAATGTTCAAATCTTTTGTGAGGGGAATTTTGATTCTTAAAGGTGGTACCAGGTAGTTACCACAGTGGGCATGGACATGGAAGCAATAGAAAAAAAGTTTTACATGCTAATGCTAACATTGGTTGAGAGAGTAATTAAATTTAGAGATTTTTTTTTTTTAAGTGTGGGCATGTTTGATACTTTTTGTTATGTGTGTTTGGGGGAGATTCTGAATCTTCCAATTTTCCCGTAGGCCTTCGGTCTATGCCTTCTATTCTGAACAACCTGATTTCTCTGGACACAAATATGGCCCTTTTGGCCCTGAGGTTAGTAGCCTGTCATCTGCCTGAGAAGAACCTGTGTCCCTGGGCTACCTGATCTACTGACCTGGTTTCAGGATTTGTAAGACGTCTTTGGGGGTGTTCACATCTACAAGGTTTATGCATAATCAAATTAACTACAAGTCTAAAAACTTTTTAACAGGTCTTAAATTTACCTGTTTCTCTTACAGGAACTTCATTTCATATTGCTTTGATATTTAAACATACCTTAACTTGGTGTTAATGGGAAACAGGGTGTGTTTCAGCCCTGTGGGCATCAGTCATGAGGAGAAGGAACAGGAAGGGTTGGCATTTGTCATCACTGGGAGAGGAGTGGAAAGGAATCTTGAGATGAAACCTACAGTATAAAACATTGCAACTGAATTTCAGCATTCTTAAAATAACTGTAGCATTCAGAAAGGGTAGATGAGGTAAGCAGCTCCAATAGCCTTGGCAGGTACAATCAATCTGGCATATGTTATATTATTGGACACTTTTTTATTTAACAAATTTTGGCATAGGTATATATACTATGAGACCATCACCATGCTCAAGGATGTGAACATATTCATCACAAAGAAGTGAATTCTTAACTGAGAGGGAAACATACTGCTGAGAGAATCTGGTTAGCAGAGCAGTGTGACACATTTTTATCAAACACACAGCCATCACAGTGGAAGACAATCTGTTTGTAAGATAGTATCCAGTATAACTACAAATTCAGAAGGTGGAAAAGCAATGGTTGTGTTTTGTTATGTTCCTCTTTCATCTAGGATGGAAATCGTCCCAACAGTTCAGCATAAATCATTTTAAAATATGGTGGAATTTGCAAATGTAAACTTTTTAATATTGTGAATGCTTTCCATCTCCCTTTCTTAATAGAATGGTGAGGTCTCCATTAATATAATAAAACTTGATTTTAGCTGAGAAATTATTTTAAAAACCCTTTGTTGGTGAAAATTGCCTCTTCTCTCTAATAGCCTTTGACAACACTGTTGGCTATAATTAAGTTCACTGTGTTCAGTATAAGGATGACTTCAAGATTCAGGTAAATGTATCTTGGTTTAAGTATTTTTGAACAAATTGCAGCATGTCTAAACAAAGGCAGTAAATACCAAAGAGTCATAAGTATTTCTGAATGTTCTGACATCAGTTCAATGCTGACTTTTTAAGCACTAGAAACTAATGGCTGTCTGAAATTGTTCTTAGTTTGTCTTAAGTCATTGAAGTCATAGAGATCTGATGCTCTTTTTCTATCCCTGTGATATTTAACCACTGTTGCACGATTATGAAACACAAATGATAAACATCTGCATACGTGAAACACAAATCTTATTTTGTCAGGAAAAAAAAAAAACAAAGCAAGAGTGGCTGTTTTATCTTTAGGATGTCTTCTTTGAGATTAATCTAAAGTGAACAAAAGGAATGACATTTTATTAAAATGTTAAAACAAAGCACCTGAGCAGTTTCCATGTACACTACTTAAAAATTTATCTTGTCTTGAATAATAATATTTTTTAAAAGACTCTGTGGGGTAGGCAAAACAGGGATTGATATAGTTATTCTTTTAAAAGTAAAAGACTAGTACATTTGCTTGGCTGGAATGGGAGAACTTGGAGATAGAACCTCAGAACTTCTGACTCCCCGACCATGTTTTTTCCCCCATGGAACCATTTAACCTTTGGTCAGCCCAGGGGGTAAGCAAGGTGGTCAGTTAGTAACCGCATTCAAATCACACAGAACATTTTCTTTATGACAGAATTTGGCTTTTAACAATACAGATGAGGTATAACTCATCTCATACCTTAAAAATTATGTGGCTTAACCATAAACGTTCTTTATCCATGAACTTCTTTGGTTTTCTAATACATGTGGTTTAGTTACAATTACCTACTTGAAAGTATATGTATATGTGTTTTAAGTTAAAAGCAACAATTTTTTTTTTTTAATATTGAGCAATGAATACATGAAGCATGATTCAGGGTAATTTAATTTACTATAATAATTTTTCTATGCCTAAGGTTGCTTATAAATATATAAACAGATTTTCCTTACATTATTTTTGAATTAAGAGCTGGAGGTATTCATGTTACATTGTTTTTACTATTACTACCTCTTGATACTGGGATATTCTCATGTATATACTGGGTAAACACTCTTAATTGGATACCTCAGGGTATACTTCAATAATTATAACCTGATTATCTGGTTACTTTCTTCTCAAAAGGCAAGGGATATTTTCAGATTTCAACTGTTTCTCATCTGGTTCTCGGAATCTTACTCTAACTGAAAGTAAAAAACAATAGTTTATACTTTTAAAACAGTAGACCAAAGCAAGTCAGTAAGTCAGCAAGTCAGCAAAACCTCTTTTAAATCATAGAATAATTGGTTTATATACCTTTATGTCCTAAATCTACCTATATATCATTATATGCCTTTATTTTGCACAAAAAGATTATACATACTAGCTGAAAGGTTATTTAAAAATCTGTAACGTGTTATCTTGTACATATAATGAAAAAATAACTTGCATTTGAAATTCAGTTGAAATGATTCTAACTAGCAAAATGCTGTATGCTACAAGGAGATGAATTCAGCTCAGATTTATGCTTTATTTACTTAATACTTGAGTACACTTCTTTTCAGGATGATTCTCTAAAACTGTTCATTGAGATGACCAAACATTTAGCTAATAGCTTCTAGAAATGGAGTATTGCTCCTGGTTTCATAGTGTAATGGTGAATGTTCAAAAATATGCTTGCTTTTGATTATTGGCGCAATCCTTTTCTCTTTGACCGTCTATGCTTTCTCTGTGACCCTTTGTTTGGCTGCTCTTCCAGGCCTAGAGGCAGAGCTTTGGCTGGCTACTCCCTACCTTCAGATGGCAAAGTATCCTTCTGAAACGCAGGGAAATTTGCCCCTCTCCCTCCCATCCTTTTAATAACCTCAGGCTAAAACTTCTAAATTCAGGCTAAAGTATGGCTGGTCAGTGAAAACTTAGCTTTCATCTACCTCTAACATTTGAAGAAGGAAATACATGCAATATAATCACTGGATGAGAACCCGGTTTGACTAAACCCTACTCTCCTACTGCTCCTCTAACCTGCTGCAAACGGAAGGGCTCGCCTTTGGAGTCTTCAGAATGTTGAGATCTCTTGCAAATGGCCTAGTGTTTGATGGGCAGACTTGAGTGCTGGCAGAATGTATTCGGTGACCATGAAATGGAAAACCCTCTTTTCCTTTTGCTGCTCTTCTCATGGACATTTGCCTAAAACTAGAAGCATTAAAAAAAAAAAATCCCAACAAACAAAACCAAAGCCTTTGGGGCTGAGTCTTTCGATCGCTCTGCTGGAGAGACAGGATGAGACAGAAGTAGAAGTGCCTTTGCCGTCGCTTGCCCTGGAAACAGTGAAATCGCATGGCCGATGTCCTCCTTCTCGGATACACTAACATTGTTCCTCCTCCTGCCCCTTCCTGCATCTGAATGGCTGTTGGAACAGTCCTACTGAGGAGAGAAGTCAGTTAGGTAGACAGCAGGGCTTGCTGCTTTAATTCACCTTTGCACCATCAGCAAATCAGGGGCCTGTTTTTCTCCAGCATTTGGAAATCCCAAAAGGTTATCTTCGGTTTTGTCTATCACCCTCTGGATTCTCAAAACAAAATGCATATCACTGCAACTTCCCCCACAAATGGGGGTTTCTGATAGCAAGAGTGTAAGTAGACTCTTTCTTGATCTGTATACCAAGGTGAAGAGATCTTGATAACTTTTTACATTTTGCCTAGTTTTAAAAAAGAATTTGGCTTAGAGTTCTTCCATCATGGAAACCTCAATTGTTAGTGAGCAGTTCTCTCTCCTGCTGAAAGACCTGATTTGTGGAAGTACACTAATGACTAAAGAGGATTGCTTATTATTTATGTTTCCTTCCATCCTTGATTTTTACATTTTTTGCCTGATCCTTTTCAGTGAAGGTGACAGTTGCTTTGCTGTATTTGGTGGTGTGACCAGATACTCATCAGATTCCAGATTGGAACCAATTTCTCGAACCTCGTTGTCATCTTGATATGACCAAGTGACTAGTATTTTGTTTAGTTTTAAGCTAGTACTTTATAAATGGAGAGCTTTTCATAACCAACAACTGGTCTTGCCTTAATGCAGGAGTTATGGAATGCAGAGCTTGTCTAATGCCACCTTCAGATATATCCACACGTAGGCTCCTCAGCCAAAAGAATTCTCTTAAATTGTATTCTTGTTCTCAGTGAAGAGGCTGTGTCAACAGCATCAGGATCAATTTGGGAGGCTTCTCTCGATAGAGTTCCCTGAATCATCGTTCCAAATTTTTTCTCACTTAAGGAGCCTTAGTTTTCCTAACTAAGACTCTGGCTGGCCCCATTCGGGAAAGTGTGAGCTTTATTACCCGACCCAGAGGGACAGACGACTTCTGAGTCCAGCCATCTCTCTCCGCCAGTACAGGAGAGTAGTTATGGCTCCCCTCTTACTCCGGCTAAGAGACCTAAGAGGAAAGTTGCCCCTAAGAGGAGACAGGAAAGACCAGTTGCTCCTCCAAAGAAAAGAAGAAGAAAATTACATAGGATGGATCAGTACGCTGCGGAAACTCGTCAGGACAAAGTAAGTTTATCTATTGTTCCAAAGCTGTGTGGCGGGCAGGTCTGAGTGGAAGGTTTCCTTCAGTACCTCAGTTTGAAAACCAGCTGAATTAAGTTTTTGAAAAACTCTGGTGCATCGTCCTTAGCTTTGAGTCCAGAAGAATCTGGTACTTCAGAGGTTAACACTTATGTGAAGACTTCCTGAACTTTCACCATGACAGAAAAAAAAAAAAAGAAGAAGAAACGTTTTACTTTTTTTAAAGTTAGTTGCCCTAAAACTAGTTACGGCACTTAGGTTTATGTGAACGTTGAGAAGGCTATTGGTTTTGTTTGTACATATTCACAGAATCAGTCACCATAGTTTGTGGCCCTGGTTCTTGAGAACAATCCTGCAAGGTAAAAGGGGAAATCCTCAAAGACAGTGCAGATTAGAATTCAATGGAAAGTTGTCTTAGATTTTTTTGTACCTTCAGAGATCAGAAAAGGTCTTAGGCTATAAACAGGGGAAGAGCGGAGATAGAAAGAAAGAGAAAACAATGGGCCATTCGAGTCGTGTTAGTCTTAGAGTGATATGAGTAATATCCACTCTTTCCAGTACATTCAGAAGCACCTATGGGTTGTTACTTTTGCTGAAATCTTCAAATACTCTGGAGGCAGTATCTTATTTCTGATTGTCTGAGCCACTCAGTAAGAAGTAGGTTCTGGATTTTACCTGAGTTATCCTGCTGAGTAAAAGGAAAACAAGTCATTGCCAAGCATTAACATATGTTGTGCATTGACTTTTTTTTTTTTGTCTAGACAAAGATATTAGAAGAGAGCATGGTTTTCTCAGAAGCAAATGTCACTTAGCCCTACATCTGTTAGACTATTCAGATTATACTGCACATTTCTTTCCGCAACTTTCAATTGTGACTTACTTCTTGGGACAGGATTTGAAATACCCCTGCTACGAAGAAAAAAATTTACGCCTGATTTCACTGATGAAATGATATGAGGAAAGGTCTTGATTCACCTGAGAAGATGCTAATGGAAGATAATATTATATGTCTGAGTAAAAATGATATTCAGATCTCTTCTGTTCTTATCTTAGTCATTTTGGGTGTATATATGTGATTTTTAGCTAAGCTGTAACATTCACCTAAAGATACTTCCTGTATCTTTCTATTCTTTGTCTGAGGAGAAGTTTCTTAAACATCTTTCCACTGCACAGTTAAAGATGAGAGGGAGTGGGAAGGCCTCTAGGCTGTGGGAGCTTTCATGTTGTTAGAAACTCCCATTTGAAGCAAGAAAATGAGAGACAGATTATGTTTCCTAGGCTTTGGAAATGTTCTTCAGAGAACTGTGTTTTCCTATTTTGCTAGACTAAAAGAGAAACCTAGAAAAAACTCAGAGGTTCACTTCTGTTTAAGTTAGGACTCTTGTAGATTCTTATTTCCCTCAAAATCAGCTTGAAAGGAACCAAGCAGAGAAGTAGCAGCTTATTTCTTAGAATAGATTCTTCTGTTAAGAATCTAGTCTCTCAAAAATTGGCAGTTAAATTATTTGGAATGAGATGAAGCTCATTGTGTTAATGATATTCTAATTTATTATCCAGTAGAAGGTTATGATTTTAACCTCAGAACTGCTTTTTGGTTCACATAGCCCCTGTCTTCTTGCCATGCCTCAAAACCTACTGTGATTTCACTCGGGGAACTGTCCACCCGACTTTCTGCTCACTCTCAAAACTCTTGGATTTAAAGGATGTTGCATTTTACAAAGCACATTTTATCTCTGGAAAAAAAGAGTTTCCCTTAATAAACATCTTTGATATTTTTATACCAAAGAATCTTTAAAGGAATTGGATGAGGAGAGGTTTCAATTCTCTTGAAAGAATAAAGATATAAAGTGCTTAGACCAGATTTCCTTTAAGACTGACAGGCAAATCTCCCCAGACAAAGCTCTGCCTCTAGGCCTGAAATTTTCCTTCCTAAAATGTTCTAGGGGTAGAAGATCTATGAGCAACTGAAAGTGGAGGAAAATCCCTGCAGGGACTAACTTGCTCCTTTTTCCAGATGACAAATCCTCTGAGGGAAATTGACAAAACTGTGGGGCAATTAATGGATGGACTGAAACAGCTGAAGCTGCATCGGTGTGTCAATGTCATCTTTGTTGGAGACCATGGTAAAGCTTTATTCTTCCTTTGCTAATAGGAGAGATAATGTTTCTGATAGCATTGGGGAAAGGAGGCCTCCGAGTCTGTCCTCAGAATCTAAGATTCTGTTCCTAACCTCCTTCCTCCTGTCTTTAAGGTGGGGAAAGAAATCAAGCCATGATTCAAAAGTATGAGATGACCTGAGATGACCCTGGGTTCATTTTGATCGAAAGCAGGAACTTCCCATATTTTTTCTACTCTTTGCAGGAAAAGGCCTTTCTACAAAAATCTGTCTCTTGTTAAAGTGTTGCTGACAATTTTCTGGTGATATTAATAGCTTCTTCTGTGAATGTGACGTATGGGGTGATAATCCCTCATCCCTTCCAGCCACTTCCTCAAAAGGAGCCCACAGAGTTTATGTGTAGAAGTCAAATCGTTCCCCTGAATTCACTGAGACCAAATCCAGAGGGCCCTGCTGCAATACAGAAGACTGTTAACAAGAGGAAGAAGTAGTTTAGGAAGCATTTTTCTAAATCACTTTATAAAGTAAAAAAAAGAATCGTGACCGCTTCTTAGAGGTGATCAAGAGCATAATAAGCACTATTGGCTACAGACCTGGGTGTTGGAGGGAAGGGACAGCTTGGAGACATACACACTAAGTTCTAGGGAGTGCATTCTGCATTCCAGAGTTGTCAAATTGAAACACTGACTTTGGAATTTGGAGTGGTTCCCTTCTAGTGGAGCTTGAAAGATGAAAATTAGTTGACTCTCTGGCAGTTCTGTTAAGAATGGCAGGCAAATATCCCTAGTCAAAGCTCTGCTCTGGGCCTGAAGTTCTTTCTAGAATGTTCTAGAAAATCTATGAGAAACTAGGGGAAAAAAAAAAAGCTGTGGGGACTTTCTTCTCTGAGGGGATTAAATGTAACCCTCTCATGTTACATGAGTTCGGCTTGGTGGAGAGCTACAGGCAGGGCAGAGGATTTGGAACATGTGTCAAAACTGTTTCAATTCAAGTTGCCCAGAGGTTTCAAGAGCCTTTGCAGGCATGCTGCAGCCAGACTTGTAAGAAGTAGATGGGCCCCCATGAGTCACATGCTGAAGCATTGTAAAGGTCATGGATAGATTAAAACCTTGTCTTCTCAGTGTGCAGGCTTCTCAGATGAGTAGATCCATTTGGTTTCAGAAAGCTACAGCATCTCTTTCTTAAAAGGTAGCATGGCCTAGTGTTTCAGGGCATGGATGGGCTTTGGGGTCAGAATGAGTTTTAGTGGAGTTCAAATTGCACGGTGCCACTCAAGTGCTGCATGACACTGTACACCTCACGTGGCCTCTCCACGTCTCAGTTTCCTCATCTGTCGAATGAGAACACTACCACCACCTACGCAAAGTTAGTCTGGAGGATGACGGGTGTTGATGTGTGAGAAGCACTTAGCACAGTGCCTGATGGTCTTTGAAAGCAAGGAAGATTGCTCACCTTTGGGGTGGTATAAGTGACTTGCTAAAAATGTAAGAAATAGAAGGTCCTTCTAGTTTTCCATTAATATGTATTTGGAGACTTTCCCTTACTGGGCATCTAGCATTGTACTAGAACATAGTAGCTGTTCATTGCTTTTATGTTTCTTCCTAAGGATTTAAATGTTAAAAGGCAAGATGTATAACTTTTGTGTTATGCTGGGATATGTTTTGTCTCTCTCTCTTCATTCCAATTTGTATTAAGAGCTGGGATGGGGTGGAGGTGGGTCTTCTGGATCTGTGATCCCAGGAGGTGATAATTTGAATTTTACCAGATCTGAGTCACTCTGGGTTATATTTCTTTTATTCCAAAACCTTAGGGGATCCTTTACAGGATCACTTATTTGCCCTCTTAGAGAATATTTGTATACTGGATTGTGCAAAGCAATAAATATATTAAACCTTTATAGTTCCATGTCATCTCATAAATTCCAAGATTGACAATAAAGATCTCTACTAGCCTCTATAGTCTATGATTCTAAGATTTGAATTTTTTTTTTTAAACTTTTAAATATTAATAAAAAAATTTTACTTGACCAGGGGAAGGAAACAAATCTTAGGGTGGGGGAGGAATGATTGTTGGTTAAAAAATATTCTCTACCTAGACGTTTCTGTGTTTTGAGTTGCTAGCTTTCAGTTCTTACTAACTACATTGTTTACAACTTATTTTCAGTGTTGTTTTTCAGTCTGGGTGGTCACTGAAACTGACATTTTTCTTTCTCATCTCTTGTTGCCAGTATTGTTTTGTCAGTAACATCCAAGGCCACCAGTGGAGACAGAGTGAGGGCTGGTGATTATGTGCTCAACAGGAGATATGTTAGAGAGTCAGACAATGACATTTTGTGAAAGAGATATAAAACTGTATATTTCACTTATTTATACCACCCCCAGCTGGGAAGTGTTTGAAGCGATCTATGATTTTTTTTCTTTTAAAAGAATATATCCTTTTTATAAGGACTGTGTAAATAGTATTTTTTTAAAATCATAATTACATTCTTTGTCTTGCTGTTCTCCCTGAAAGACTTAAAACGATAATTGAGATGATACATTTTAAGCCTTCTAGTGCTTGCAAGATGATATAGCTAAATCATAGTCTAGCAGAAAGATTATATTTAAAGAAACATTAAATAATTTTAACTCAAGTTTAAAAATCTCAAAAATGAGGTTTCCTCCTGATCTCTAGAAGAGTTTTTCCTACATTTTCTTCTAGAATTTTTATGATTTCATGTCTTACATTTAAATCTTTTATTCATCTTGCATTAATTTTTGTATATGATGGGAGATAGGGGTCCTGTTTCATTCTTCTGCATGTGGCTGTCCAGTTTTCCCAGCACCATTTATTGAATAAAGCTTCCTTTTCCCAGTGTATGGTGTTGTTGAAGATCACTTAGTTGTAGGTAGATGGTTTTATTTCTGAGTCCTCTATTCTGCTCCATTGGTCCATCTCTACTTTTATACCAGTATAATGCTGTTTTGGTTACTATAGCCTTGTAGTATAATTTGGAGTCTGATAATGTGATACTTCAAGATTTGTTCTTTTTGGCCAAAGATTGCTTTGGCTATTCAGGCTCTCCTCCCATTAAATTGTGAAAAACTAATGCAAGAGATGTCTGCATGTTATCTTTAACATCTGTGTTATGATTTTAATTTTAATTTTGATATTGCCTGTTAAAATTATATATATTAATTTTATATTTAATAATGCAAATATTAATACCTTTTTTCTCCTTCTCATAGGAATGGAAGATGTCACATGTGATAGAACTGAGTTCTTGAGCAATTACCTGACTAATGTGGATGATATTACTTTAGTGCCTGGAACTCTAGGAAGAATTCGGCCCAAATTTAGCAATAATGCTAAATGTAAGTTGATTCTTAAAATATTGAGTTGTTAGAGTGATAATACAGTGGCATTGGTAAGGACTTGTTTTCTAAAGCTGAAATATTTGGGTAAAAATTCTAGGTCTGCTACTACTTAGCTAAGTGACCTTAAATAAGTCATTTAAATGCTAAGCCTCAGTTTTTTTAAACCTGAAAAATGGGGATGATAAATAACAGTAGCTATCTCATAGGGCTGTTTTGGAAATTAATCTACACATATTGCTCAGAGTGGATCCTGGCACATAGTAGCACTGTATAAATATTTGCTCTTGTTTTTATCTTGTGGAAATTGCACTTAATTTTAAGCATGTTTATAACCATAAACTTCTGTTTCTAAGAGAAGAATTTTTCAACAAGAAGTTCAGGCTGGCACTTTAGCTAAAACTAGAGAGTCTATGACAAGGTTGGCAGAACCACATTTGGATCCTGGGAGTTCCTAGGAACCTTGTGGAAGGAGGGTCTTCCCCTTTGTAAAAGTGATTAGCAGAAACTGGGAGGAAAAAATATTCAGCCCTTGGGAAATGGCAGCTGTTCTGAAAGATTAGAAACAAAATAAACAGGAATAATCTTGTCACTTGCGTTTTACATGTTCGGGTTATGATATGCCACTGATAAGAACTTTAATTTGTGACTAAGGATTTTAGGGGCTCCCCACCTAGCTTTTGAGAAGTCCCCAGTTTTATTGGGGACATGCTGTATTTTGAAAAAAAAAGTTTTTAAACAGTTTTTAGCCTTGGGAATAAGAAACCATTGACACTAACCTCAAAGCTTTGGAAAATTAAGTTTTTCCCAAGTTATGTTCCTGAGTCAACACAAATGGGAACTGTTCCAAGGTCAGCTCCAGGCAACGTTGTGAAATAAACAGAATGTGGGTGTTTCTGCCTTCTCTTCTCTATGCCTTTCCTGTCTTCTGTGTCCTCCTTCCCTGCCCACTTGAGATAGGCAGGCCCTCCCTGTAGACTGGATGCAGTTATCGTGGCACCTCTCAAATTTAGTGTTTGCATTTGAGGGGTATACAAGAAAGATTTTGTCTATTTTGAACGGCATGCATGACATCAGTAAATGTAATAGGGAGATTCTTTTCAGGGGAAGAAAAACTTTCCTAAGGCCCATAAAATAATAACTAGCAATAACGAAATGTCTCGTACTTTGCAAAACATTTTGCAATGTGATTTCATTTTGTGGGAGACAGGAGAGTGGGGTGGCGAAGGGCACAGGTGTCTGGGTTTGAATCCCAGCTCTGCCAGGGACTCCCTGTGTGATGTTGAATAAGGTACTTAAACAGCTTCCTCACCTGTAAAATAAGGATTGTTGGGAAGACTAAATGAGAGATTGTGTAGATATAATTGAGATCAAAGCTATATAAATACTAGCTATGATGGTGTCTTGGTCACATGACTGTTTCAGTTTTATATATATATATATATATATATATTTATATGTACACACACACAATCTTATTTAATCCTTTTAATAGCCATGTGGTAAGTATTATTATCCATGTTGTAGACAGTAAAAATCAAGGCTCAAAGAGGGGTGAAGGAATTGGCTTGGAGGATGACAGTAAGTGGCAGAGCTGGGATTTGAACCCAGATTGGTGGATTTTGAACCATACCCCTTTCCTCACACATAGTGGGGACTGTTAGCATGAAAGAAAGGACTAAGTTCTTCAGAACTGAAGAGCTGGTGTCCAAAAAATGGGCTCGGGCATTTGCTATTTTATAGTAATCCTCTGGAATTTATTTGAGTACATGCTATTTATTTCTCTTGATTATCAAAGAACATGAACTTTGTTTGTTCCCTTGGAGGACTATGGTTTATGAGGCCACAAAGTGTAGAGGCTCAAGGCACAGCTTGCTCAGGCAGTTTGGTCCCAGTGTGCCAGCTCCTATATCTTCTGAACACCACTGGCTTGGTGAGGACAGCATTGACCTCCCAGGGTTGTTGTGAATAACCAGAGAGAAGGTGCCTGCAAAGCTCTTATGGAGAGACAGGTGCATGGGATGGATTCAGTTTGGGTTAACCATCACTGCTACCATTATTACTCATTCATTTTATAGTAAAAGGTGTAATTAAAATTTAAGCCCAATGGAATCCCCATTATAGCTTTGGATTTCAAACTTTAGAACTAAGATTCTGAAAATAGACTTTGGAGTGTGTCTATTTATACCTTAAGAGGCACTCTTATTCATGCATTTTAACAAATATGAATAAATATTTATTAATATGTTATTAATAAATGTGTACTGAGGGCCTATGATACACCAGTCTCCAGGGATATAGCTGCAAATGATAGCAACAAGGCCCGTTCCGCTGGCATTCATATTCCGGGAAGGACTGCATCGTGACAGATGGTATCTCTTCTGAACACTGCTATCCTTTTCTACTGATTCTGTAATGACATACTGAAGCACATTTTTTGAAAATAAAACAAAATCCAAACAACCTACAATGTCCTCTTTCTCCCTACACTCCCCTAAAAGGGGACCCTCACATAATATGATCCTATCCACAGTTTATGCACAGCCATCATTTACATAGTTTTGCTTTTAGCTAGTTCGGAGTATTGACAAAAATATCCTTTAATGCTGCTCATGAAAATAAAAGAGGTCCACACACGTGTGTGTTTATGGCTGGAGAGGAGTGGCTACCTATATAATTAGACCCATGATATTACTAAGGAAACAGAACTCTGTTTAAAAAAATAACTGAGTGGATTAGAAGATTTGTCTTAAAGTGGATGATGACCTGTTTCAAAGATCTGTAGATAAATAGGAAGTTACAGTAAAAGCCCCAAATGCCCAGTTTAGCTCCTGAGGTTAAATTGCAAATAAACTAAGTCTCCAGAGGAACCATTTGGGGGAACTTGAAGAAGCAGTTTACCTGGCAGTATCCTGGTGCTATGGAAGGAAACATTCCCTTCGGAAGAGGATACCTGAATCTAGTGGGGAAGTTTACTACAGGATTTGTTCTTAACTGCATTTCAATTACCAAATGCTAAATACCTGCACACAATTGCAAACAAAACACTACAGTGACAGTTCTTCTGGGGGGTGGTGAAAGAAATAACTGAGTATCTTGCTGCAAAAATGATTTCTCTCGGTGATTCTTGTTCTCTTTTTTGAAATCTTTCTCCTTCTCTCTTTGAACAGATGACCCTAAAGCCATTATTGCTAACCTCACGGTAAGTGTTGCAAGTCACCAGGTCTCTGGCCCCACCAGGCCTCTGGGCTCCCCTCCTGCGTTTGCCTCCCCTGTGGGAGGCAATTTTCCTCACTGCCCTGCCATCCCATGTATTTGTTTCCTTAAGAGCTTTCAAAACTTCTGGCCTGTGGTCAGCTGCAGGCTCCCCAATGGTCTTGGCAATGATACAAACTGAGAATATTCGATCCTCCCATTAGAACTGAAAAGTATTCATTCATGATTAAACAAATCTTTACTTTCTCTGAACCAGATCTGCCTACCACCCTGTTCCATTGTTCCTGAATGCAGGGTAGAGACCTTAAAAGTACAAAAGCATATAATCAGAAAGGTCTGAACCTGTGAGCTCCTTCCTACCTTCCCACCCCCACCCTTCGCTAGAAGCAGTGGGGAAAGCCCTTGGAGTTTGACTTGCTCTTAGTGATGGTCTCATTAAGTTAGGAATGTATCTTAAACTTCCTGACTCTCCTCTGATAGCCTGGCATTTCATCTCCAGAGTTATCTAATCCCCTTTGAACTTAATTGTTTGAAGCATGTATTTGATAGGGAGCAACAAATTCCATTTATTCACTAGCCAACCTTTTGCTTGGCTTAAAACCTTCAACGTACTAGAGATAGAATATCTAAGACTTTTTCTAGAAGACATTCCATCTAAAGTCTTAATTTCCACTTCTGTTTCAGTGTAAAAAACCAGATCAGCACTTTAAACCTTACATGAAACAGCACCTTCCCAAACGCTTGCACTATGCCAACAACAGAAGAATTGAGGATATCCATTTGTTGGTGGACCGCAGGTGGCATGTTGCAAGGTAACTAGGGGATGAGCTGTCCCTGTTTCTCATCTTCACAACCACTTCTTTGGCAACTGGGGCTTTAAGGTCCTTAGTTATCATTAAAAGAAATCTCAGCTGGAAATCTTGCTGTTTCCAAAGATTTTGTGGGCTAGATAAACAATTAGTGCTAAGACAATATATCTGTGTGTTCTGGGTCTTAGTATCTCAATGTCTCTTTGTAGTCTCACAGTGCATTTGTGTGTGTGTGTGTGTGTGTGTGTGTGTGTGTTTGTGTGTGTGTATCACTTTCATTTTTAGAATTTGTATTCTAACCTCTATTCTTATTCCTTGAGTAAATCAAAAGTATAACTGGGACCTTGCCCTAGCATGCTGGGCTAATTTGGTCTCAGTTGATGAGACTTTGCCTGTACCAGTGTTTGTAGAAGACTTCAGAAAATTTGTTCATCTTAAAACCTCTGTTATTGTGAACATGTTTTATGTCACTTTAAATATTTTAGATGTTTTCCTTCTTTTGAACTACAAAAAACTCCCCAATATTGAAGAGACTATCCCTTCCTTTTTATTTTATTTTATTTTATTTTATTTCAGCATATTATGGGGGTACAAATGTTAAGGTTACATATATTGCCCATGCCCCCCCGCCACAAACAACCCCTCCTCGAGTCAGAGCTCAAGCGGTCGGCCATCCCTGAATCTTGCACACTCACTCATATTTTGTATATACTCATCCCCTCCTTTCCCCTCCCACCTGCCTGAAGCCTGATAAATGTTTTTCCTATATGTCCACTTAGGTGTTGATTCATTAATACCAATGTCTGCTGTGAGTACATGCGGTGTTTATTTATCCATTTGGAGATACTTCACTTAGTAGAATGGGTTCCAGCTCTATCCAGGAAAATACAAGTGGTGCTCTATCACCATTGTTTCTTAAAGCTGAATAGTACTCCATGGTATACATATACCACATTTTATTAATCCACTCATGAATTGATGGACACTTGGGTTGTTTCCACAACTTTGCGATTGTGAATTGTGTTGTTATAAACATTCGAGTGCAGGTGTCTTTTTCATAAAGTGACTTTTGATCTGTTGGGTAGATGCCCAAGGGTGGAACTGCTGGATCAAATAGTATATCTACTTGTATCGCTTTAAGGCATCTCCATATTGCTTTCCACGAGGTTGAACTAGTTTGCAGTCCCACCAGCAGTGTAGGAGTGTTCCTATCTCTCACATCCATGCCAACATTATTGTTGGGAACTTTTTGATAAAAGGCCTTGGTCACTGGAGTTAAGTGATATCTCATTGTGTTTTGATTTGCATTTCCCTGACAATTAGAGATGTTGAACATTTTTTCATATGTTTATTGGCCATTATTCTGTTTTCTTTTGAGAAGTTTCTGTTCATGTTCTTTGGCCCATTTTTGATAGGGTTGTTTGATTATTTTCTTGTTGATTTTCCTGAGTTCTAAATAGATTTTAGTTACCAGCCCTTTATCAGAGGTGTAAGCTTGCGAAAATTTTCTCCTATTCTGTGGGTTGTCTGGTGGCTCTCTCGACAGTTTCTTTGGCTGTGCAGATGCTTTTTAATTTGATCAGGTCCCATTTGTTTACTTTTGTTGCTGCTGTGATTGCCTTTGGGATCTTCTTCATAAATTCTTTGCCTAGGCCAATGTCTAGAAGAGTATTCCAACATTTCCTCTAGAATTCTAATAGTTTCACACTAAGGTTCAAATCTGTTACCCAGCGTGAGTTGATTTTTGTGAGAGGTGAAAAGGTGTGGTCCTGTTTCAATCTTCTACATATGGCTATCAGTTTTCTCAGCACCGCATTTATTGTAATAAGGATCTTTCCAGTGTATGTTTTTTCTGCTTGTCAAAATAGTTGGCTAAATGAGGATGTTGGTTATATTTGGGTTCGTCGTGTTCTGTTCCACTGTCAATGTTCCTGTTCTGTTGCAATTCGAAAGCTGTTTTAATACTATAGCCTTGTAATATAGTTGAGAATCTGGTTAAATGATACTTGCTATTTGTTTTATTGCCTAGGATGATGTTTGCGTATATGGGGTCTTCTTTGGTCCATATGAACATACAACTATTCTTCGTATATCTGTGAAAAATGATGATGGTATTGTTACTAGGGATTGCATTGACTCTGTACGGTCCTCTGGGTAGTATAGACATTTACAATGTTGATTTCTGGTGACCGCCATGAGCATGTGATATTCTTCTACCTGTTCCTACATTCTCTGCTATCTTTCTTCAGTGTGTTCATGTTCTCTCCTGTAGAGGTCTATTTACCTCTTAGTAAATAATTCTTAGTACTTTATTTTCTTTGTTGCTATTTTGAAGGAATTTGAGTCTTTGATTTGGGTTCTCACTTGTACTGTGTTGCATATATGAATGCCTCTGATTTCGTCTGTGATTTTGTATCCTGAGACAATTCATTTTATCAGTTTACAAATTCATTTATCAGTTCAAGGAGTCTCTTGTTGAATCCTTGGGGTTTCTAGGTATAAATCATGCATCAAGCAAGAGGTGAGAGTTTGATCTCTTTTGCGTCCCATTGGACGCCCTTAATTCTGCGTCTCTTGCTGTAGCGAGGACTCAGCACTGTTGAATAGAATGGAGATAGTGGCAACCTGTCTTCTTCAGTTCTAAAGTGGAATGATTTACAAGTTTTCCCATTCAGTATGTATTGGCTGTGATTTGTCATATATGGCTTGTGATCATTTTTAGGTAAGCCCATCTCATGCCTATTTGATGTTTCGTTATCATAACAAGTTGTGTGTTGATTTTGCTCAATGCTTTCTCTGCGTCTCTATTGAGGAGATCATTATTGGTCTTTGATTTATGCTCTGTTATGTGGTGAATTACATTTATACGATGTTGCACTATGTTGAACCTCCCTGCATTCCTGGATGACAGCCATCCGTGTATGTGGGATTTTTCTTCGCAAGCACCTGGATTCAATTGGCTAGGATTTTGTTGAGAATTTTTGCATCTATATTCATAAGGGATATTGGTCTGTAGTTTTCTTTTTTTGTTGCATCCTTTCCTGGTTTTGGTATCAGTGTTATGTTCACTTCATAAAATGTGTTGGGAGGGATTCCATCCTTCTCAATGTTGTGGAATAATTTCTGCAGGATAGGCACCAGTTCTTCCTTGTAGGTGTGGTAAAATTCGGGTGTGAAACCATTTGGTGCAGGACTTTTCTTTGTAGGAAGGTTTTTTTATTGCTATTTCAATTTCAGTACTTGATATGGGTCTGTTCAGGAATTCTATTTCTTCCTGGTTGAGCCTAGGGAGGCTGTGTGTTTCTCAGAAATTGTCCATTTCCTCCACATTTTCCAGTTTGTGTGCAAAGAGGTTTTTGTAGTATTCATAAATAATATCTTGTATCTCTGGGGCATCATTCGTAATTTCTCCTTTATTTTTCCTGATGGAGCTTATTAGAGATTTTTCTTTTCTGCTTTTCATTAGTCTAGCCAAAGGTGTGTCAATTTTGTTTATTTTTTCAAAGAACCAACTTTTTGTTTTATTAATCTTCCGTATGGTTTCCCTATTGTCAATTTTCATTTAGTTCTGATTTGATCTTAATGATTTCACTTCTGCTACGTTTGGGGTCAGTCTGTTCTTCATTTTCCAGCTCTTTGTGACAATTCATTAGGTTGTCTATTTGTGATCTTTTTTACTTTGGGATATAGGCATTTATGGCAATAAACCTTATTCTCAGGACTGCTTTAGCTGTGTCCCACAGGTTTTGGTAACTTGTGTCTCCTTTGCCATTTAGTTCAAAGAATCTTTTGATTTCCATCTTGATTTCCTTATTTATGAAGTGATTATTCAGCAGAAGGTTGTTTAGTTTCCATGACTTTGTGTAGAAATTAGGACTCCTGTTAGGGTTGATTTCTACTTTTATTCCACTGTGATCTGAAAAGATACATGATATAATTTCTGTTTTTTAAAATTGTTTGAGACATGTTTTCTGTCTTAGAGAATGACCCATGAGCTGATGAGAATAATGTATATTCAGTGATTTGGGGGTAGACTGTCCTGTAAATGTCAGTCAGGCCCATTTGTTCTAGAGTTCTGTTTAAGTCCATTATTTTTTTATTGGTTTTCTGTTTGGAGGATGTGTCTTGTGCTGTCAGTGGGCTGTTAAAGTCTCTGACTATTATGTTGTTATTGTTTATCCATTTGTTTAGATCCAGTAGAGTTTGCTTTATGAATCTGGGTGCACAAAGGTTGGGTGCATATATATTTAGAATTGTTATGTCTTCTTGTTGAACTGTACCCTTCACCATTATATAGCGACCTTCTTTGTCTTTTGTTACTTTTGTTGATTTAAAAGCTAAGTTATCTGTAATCAGCACTGCCACGCCAGCCTTCTTTTGTCTTCTATTTGCTTGAAATATTGTTCTCCACTCCTTGATCTTTAGTCTAACTGCATCCTTGCAGGTTAGATGTGTTTCCTGAAGGCAGAAGATACTTGGCTTGTGTATTTTTATCCATTCGGCCAGCCTATGTCTCTTGAGTGGGGAGTTGAAGCCATTCACATTTATTGAGATAACTGATAGGTGAGGAAGATTTCTGTTCATTATGTTGGGTTGAACTTTGTTGCTTTGTTTTGTCTCTTGAGCCATTGTGGTATCTGGG